AAAGATACTGCAGATTTACATTTACAGTAGTGAGTGCATTCATAAGTGTCTCATTTTTTAATTTTTTCCCCCTGAAAACTTCCAGGGAAACACAGGCGTGCTCCTCGGGATGCTCCTGGTTTCCTCGGTGGTGCTGGTTGCCTTAGTGACTGTGATGTCAGGGATCGGGGTGTGTGAGCACTGTGGAGTGGGGAGCGGAGGAATCTACTCCATGATCTCCACCGTCCTGGGCGGCAGGGTTGGGGGCACCATGGGCCTCCTGTATGTTTTCGGACAGGTGAGTATTGATGAAGGCTGATATTAATATTTGTTTGTGTGAAGTTTTGTGTTTTGTGATACACCTTTGGCCCCACAGTGTGTGGCTGGAGCCATGTACATCACAGGTTTCTCTGAGTCGGTGGCAGAGCTGCTGGGTCTGCAGTCTCAGTGGGCGGTGCGCGGCATGTCGGCTGCTGTGCTGCTGGCCCTGCTGGGCATCAACCTGGCCGGCGTCAAGTGGATTGTCAGAATTCAGCTGCTGCTGCTGGCCGTCCTGGCCGTCTCCACGCTGGACTTTGTTGTTGGCAGTTTCACGCACCTCGACCCAGGTAGGATTTGGCAGTAAATACTTACTAGGGTAAAAAGGCAGAGAGAGGGTTACTGACATTGTGGGAAGGGTTGAATCAGTTCTGCTGTGTAGGGCCAGTCTTTGTGTGAGTATTTTGAATAATATAAGTATACAATATACTTATATACAGTATATAAAGTATATTCAAGTATATATCATGAGTACTTTCAATCCAAAATAATCTTCAAATTATTCATTGGTAACATATTACTACATCATTTGAGGAGTTTTTTTTCTTTTTATTGTTTTCTGTCTGTATTTCTCTGTCTGTCTATCTGTCTGTCCCTCTGTCCCTCCGTCCGTCTGTCTGTCTGTCTCTCAAATAGACAGTTGACAACAATTTTGAATGTCTGACCTGTTGAGACCAGTAGGTGGTGCTGTAGTACCACTTATCCCAGTCAGTGCCAGTCTGTGTCCTGCTGAGTCTGTAGCTCTCTACACACCTTTTCATCATACTTGTGTTTGTGTGTGTGTGTATGTGTGTGTGTGTGTGTGTCTGTCTGTCTGTCTCGCTTGTCAGCCTGTTGAGTGAGAGTTATTTCTCCTCAGTTTCTGTAAACTTTGGCACGGGGTTGTTTTTCAGGTCCAAAGCTGGCATCGTGTCCTATTGAGTTTTCTTTTGTCTGTTTTTCCTTTTTTTTTTTTTTGTGGTGAGGAAATGTTGCCCTTTTAAGTATCTTGTATTCTTATGCCTGCTTTCAGGAAGTCCTTCCCTACATTTCCTGTTCTCACTGATTATCAACGTCCTGTCCAGTGGGACGACAAAAGTGTTCCACGAGTCGAGCCAGTGCTTTTGTGAATAAACCAACACACAATATTACTTTACGCAATAATAGTAAGAGAAACCTCTCACATACAGGAAACACAATAAAACAGGCTTAAATAGCTTTCAGACCACCTGTCATACACTAATCATTTACTGGTCATTGAGGTTACTTTTTGCATGATCTAGTTTTACCACTATAGTTACCTCTGTGCCACTTACAGCACAGTTGGTAAAGTCAAGTTTGCCGTTGCTGAAGAACTGTGGGAGAACCAGGCGTATAATGACTTCTCCAGGTTTTTCCAATTAAGCGCCTCTGTGTGTTTTGTGGTGACATCATGGTTGGCAGTGGCCCAGCAGGTCCCCGAGCTAGCTGAACCGACTCAGATTAGCCTGCGCTCGCTATACGCCGAGGAACATCCTGTAGGATGAAGAGCCGCTGCCAAAACCGCGTCATAGTTTGATAACATGTCCCCACTGTGACCGCTTGATGAGAATATCATCATGACAGGTTTCAGATACCATTGTTCATCATCACCACAGCTCAGGCATGTCTTCTCTGCAAAATGGTGCACGACATCAACATTTAAATGGCAGATTGGCTTGTCCATATTCTCAGGAAATATTGGCATTTTAAGACAAAACTGGCCGTTGGCTTGTCAATATTTTATACCTCATGATCAGAGGTTCACATTTCGAGCTGAATGGTAGAAAATAAATTGCAAATATTTTAAAAGTTTCTAGTTCTAGCTACTCAACATTTGATGCTTTTCTTCCTTTTTATAACGGTAATGGTAAACTGAATGTCACTTCACAAAAATAAAACAGCACCATGGGCTTTTCGAAACTGATGAGGTTTTTTGTGACATTTTTAAGATGAATA